GTTTGCTCCAAGCACTGTCTGGCCATTATATGCTAATCAAGGTGGTCATATGAACCATTCACACCTAGCTCCAGCAGACAAGAGTCCTTTGTCCCACCCTGGTCATTCCACAGATAATAAACCCCTTTTCCTGGTTCCAACAGACCTCATTACCTCTGAGGATGCTTGCCATAGATGCAGGCGAAACTTCAGGAGAGAATGCCTCTAGACCATGGCCATACAGCCCAAAAAAACCTACAACAACCCAGTGATTCCGGCCATGAAAGCCTTCAACAATACAATTATTATTATTATTATTATTATTATTATTATTATTATTATTATTGTTAGAAACACAACAAGATGAGTCCACAGCAAACAAGATCACTCCGCTGGCTGTTGTATTGGATCACATGTTGGACACTTCCCAAGTGTCTAGGACTGTGTGATGTATCAGCGAATAACACGTGCAGACCCCAACCTTTTGCAGCAGACAGATGGTAATTTTGTCAGTGCCAATTGTGTTTAAGTTCAGGCCAAGGTCTTTAGGCACTGCACCCAGTGTGCCGATCACCATTGGGACCACCCTGATTGGCTTGTGCCAGAGTCTTTGCAGTTAGATCGCTAAATCCTTGTATCATGTCAGCTTTTCCAGTTATTTCTCTTCAATCCTGCTGTTACCTGGGATTGCAACATTGTTGCATCTGTCAAGTAGGAAATTTAGGTACCACTTTATGCGGGGAGGCTAATTTAACTAATTTACGACACCATAAAACCTTCCAGCAGCGTGCATAAGAATGAGGAAGTACTCCATCAAGGAGTACTTCCTTGATGGAGTACTCCTCTATCTTTGTTTTTTACTTTGTTTTTTAACATGATTTTTAGTCTGATTTTGGAAGTCCTGAGTATTTATTTATTTATTTACAGTATTTATATTCCGCCCTTCTCACCCTGCAGAGGACTCAGAATGGATTTCAATGTACACACACACCACAAACATTCAATGCCATTTACACATACAACATATATAGGCAGACATACAGGCAATTTAACATTCCAGCTTTTCCAGCTTCATGAGGGTATGCTCAATTCCGGCCACAGAGGGAGCTGCCGCTTCATTATCCACTTGTGACACCCAGTCCTTGATGGAGTACTTCCTCATTCTTACGCACACTGCTGGAAGGTTTTATGCTGTCCTAAATTAGTTAAATTAGCCTCCCCGCATAAAGCGGTACCTAAATTTCCTACTTGACAGATGCAACTGTCTGCATAGGTCTACAGTAAGCTAGCCTATTAATGGTTGGAAGCTCAGTCTGACCTGGGCTGGCTTCGAACTCATGACCTCTCGGTCAGCAGTGATTTAATGCAGTTGGCTACTAACTAGCTGCGCCACAACCCAGCCCGAGTTGTTGTTGTTGTTGTTATTATTATTATTATTAAGCCAAGTAGTTTCAGAAGATTAAGAAGAAACATCATAGTGGCCCCCACATGCCATGGAATCATAGAAGTTATGAGTTTGAAGAGACCCCATGAAGAAGAAGAAGAACAACAACAACAACAACAACAACAACTTGGATTAATTCAATTCAATTTAATCTTTTTTATTTAAACAAATCAATAAATAGGAATGTTGGCAGCTTCCTTAACATTCATACTATAATCCAGAACACATTCACTGATCCTGGATGACACCTGAGTGGGGTACTACAGGAAGTCACTTTGCCCTGACCCTTGACTCCACTTCTCTATCATATTCTTATAGCAGAAGTTCACAGTTATCTGTGATTACACGGATCCACAAAAAGTTTGGGAATATGTTCTATGTGGATATAGGGGGTCATACTGTAGCATACAAGACAACACCTTGGCTGTGCGGCAACATCACATTTTGCAACCAGAAATGCACCCACACTCTGCATTTCTATCAATTCATTTTTCAGTTCTTGGTTTGTTTCCCGTGCCACCATTCCTGCACACAGAGTCTTCCTTTTCAAGCTCAGATTCTTTTCCTTAAGCATGGTCTCTCATACTTGCATAACAGGACCAGATATATTGTATTCAGTAATGTGTGTGTGTGAGAAAGAATGTGAATCAGAGATGGCGAAAGGGGGTGTCATGGAGTGGAACGGAACAGTCAACACTGAAATGGGACTCGGGCGAGCATTTGCAGTTTCTCCGGCATGTATAAAATATTTCCCACTAACCATTCGTACGGCGGCTTCTGTACCTCCTTTATGCTCAAGCGTAACAGGATATTGTTAAGGGAAAGTAATTTTGTCTCCAAGGGGAAAGACATGGATAGTTTCTACAACTGAATGGCCAGTGGGATGCATGACTATTCTATATTCTCCTCATCAGCTCCCATGTTTCTCAAATAGAAAACAATAAACAGCTTGTTGATAGATAATAAAATGTGCTTTTTGAAAGCCAAGATCCAAAACTATACCTCTATAGATCAAAATGTTTTAGGACATGTACAAAGTGACCTAGAAGGCAAATTGGTTCAGTTTCAATTGGAAGAGGACAGAGGCAAATGTGTCCTCTGGCCAGTCCAGCCCCGGTGAGTGCATTTAATAGAATAATAATAGAATAATAGAGGTGGAAGAGACCACATGGGCCATTCAACCCCCTGCCATGCAAGAAAAGCTCAATTTCAGCTTGTTTTCCCAAAAATTAATGCGATCAAGAGGGCAGTGATAGTTGGGCGCTGAATATACTCCAGGTCTTAATACTTTGAGCTGTCCAAAGTGCTGAACCTTAGCCCTGGAATGGGTTCGAGATCTTGGAGAGCTCTGTATAACTCCACTTAAATATACATTCCTAGTTGAAAGGCATAAATCCTTTCTAGAAAAGACGTTTTCTTTCAGCATTAAATTTTGAACTCTCCCATGAAGCCAAGATGACTAAACTCAGGCTGTATAATGAGAAGGCAGGACTCATTAAAAAAGACAAAAAGGTTTCAGAAGGTAGAAGACAATAGGAAAAGAAGAAGATCACATCCAGATGGATTGCAATTTAAGTGGAATAATAGCCCTCAATCAAGGAAACTGTGGCTGCCCTGAGCCTGCAAGACCTGATAAATGGTTGTGGATGATAGGGGAATTTAGAGGTTTCTCATTCATGGGGTTACCGTAGGCCAAAGGTAATGTTATGGCAGATTACAACAACCTCCTGGTCTATTCCAGATTCAGTTTGAAATGATGATTGAGGCATACAGATGAACTGAAAGCCCAAATCTCTTAATTTGAGCCTAAACCTTGTGATCATTGAAGGAGGGTTTTCTCATTGTGTCAGGACCAGGAGAAAGGAGACTCCATCTGAACATGAGGAAGAATTTCCTGACTGTGAGAGCCGTTCAGCAGTGGAACTCTCCCCCGGAGTGTGGTGGAGGCTCCTTCTTTGGAGGCTTTTAAACAGAGGCTGGATGGCCATCTGTCAGGGGTGCTTTGAATGCAATTTTCCTGCTTCTTGGCAGGGAATTGGACTGGATGGCCCATGAGGTCTCTTCCAACTCTATGATTCTATGATTCTATGACCACTCCAGGCTCAGATGATGATAAAGATACAGGGGAAAGACTTCATGGTGGTGGCCCCTTGGTTATGGAACTCACTCCTATGGGAAGCTAAATTGCCCCTTTCTGACCTTTCCTCAGGCAAAGACTTTTCTGTTTAACCGACCTCCAGCTGCTCGAGAAAACAATTGTGCTTATTTATTTGTCGTGTCAGGGCAACCAGTCAATTATATTACATTTTTAACAGAACAAAGCAAACAAACAGACAAAATACAAAATGTGTGAGTTTGGTAGTTGATTAAATGTCCTTTGACCAGTATCTGGCCACTTGGAGTGCTTCTGGTGTTGCTGCAAGAAGGTCCTCCATTGTGCATGTGGCAGGGCTCATTGCAGCAGGTGGTCAGTGGTTTGCTCTTCTCCACTCGCATGTCGTGGACTCCACTTTGTGGCCCCATTTCTGAAGGTTGGCTCTGCATCTTGTGGTGCCAGAGTGCAGTCTGTTCAGCGCCTTCCAAGTCGCCCAGTCCTCTGTGTGCCCAGGGGGGAGTCTCTCATTTGGTATCAGCCATTTGTTGAGGTTCTGGGTTTGAGTGCCTTCCAAGTCGCTCAGTCCTCTGTGTGCCCAGGGGGAAGTCTCTCATTTGGTATCAGCCATTGGTTGAGGTTCTGGGTTTGAGCCTGCCACTTTAGGACTCTCGCTTGCTTAGGCGTTCCAGCGAGTGTCTCTGTAGATCTTAGAAAACTAAGGTGGATGGATGATATCCTTGAAGTGACTGGCTGATACCCAAACAGGGGATGAGCTGGAGATGTCTCTGCCTTGGTCCTTTCACTATTGGCTGCTCCTTCCCGGCGGATGTCAGGTGGTGCAATACCGGCTAAGCAGTGTAATTTCTCCAGTGGTGTAGGGCGCAGACACCCCGTGATAATGCGGCATGTCTCATTAAGAGCCACATCCACTGTTTTAGTGTGGTGAGATGTGTTCCACACTGGGCATGTATACTCAGCAGCAGAGTAGCATAGCGCAAGGGCAGATGTCTTCACTGTATCTGGTTGTGATCCCCAGGTTGTGCCAGTCAGCTTTCATATGATATTGTTTCTAGCACCCACTTTTTGCTTGATGTTCAGGCAGTGCTTCTTGTAGGTCAGAGCACAGTCCAGAGTGAGACAATTGTGCTGGGGAAAATGGAAGGAAAAAGGAAGAGGGGCTGACCAAGGACAAGATGGGTAGATGGCATCCTTGAAGTGACTGGATTGATCTTGAAGGAGCTGTGGGTGGTGATGGCTGACAGGGAGCTCTGGCTGGGCTGCTCCCATGAGGTCATGAAGAGTCGGAAACGACTGAATGAATGAACAACAACCAGTTGCTAACTGATCGGGGCAGAGGGAATGCAGTGGGTGTGCCACTATTAGTATGTGGTCTACATTTTATGCTTTTTAAAATGGTTTTCTTTTAAAATATTGATTATTTATTTCTTTTTTAAAAATCCCTTTTTTATTGTGTCACTTCAGGTCATCTCCAACATTTGATAATTCTACAGCAATGATGGGAGTGTCCTAAAAGATTTCTCCAGAAGAAGCCTGCCATGGTCTTCCACTGAGGCTGAGAGTGTGTGACTTGCTCAAGGACGCTCAGTGAGTTTCCAAGTCTGAGAGGGGAATAGAACTCTGGCCTCAAGTTCAACACCCAGACTACTACACCTAGCTGAATCTCCTTGGATTTTCTTGGCAAGATTTCTTCAGAAGTGGTCACCATGCTCTTCCTCTGAGGCTGAGAGTGTGTGACCAGCTCAAGGCCAATCAGTGAAGCAGCTTCTATTCTGAGATGGAATTTGAAGGATGGTCCTAGTCTAAAATGCAAGCCAGCACTACACATAGTTTTAGCGATTTAACACATATGAATACCCCATATATATACAGTCAGTCCTTTTCTATTTTGGGTTTCACTTTTGTTGATTGGATTAATATGTCCTCTTCACATTCTCCAACATATCTCTATGGACAACTTCTAGAGGATCTAGATTACTAGAGAGATGTTCCCTTGGGTTAAATAGAATTAGCACTTTAAAGGCCGAGAGGAGGCTGTTGAAGCTGTTTGCAATTTATAATGTAGATTTCAAAGTATGTATGTATGTATGTATGTATGTATGTATGTATGTATGTTTAAAATGCAGTAGCTATGTGCCAAGTGTAATGTATTCCTGTGTGGAAAGAGTTAACTGAACCATGGAGGGAACGGCACTCCTAGAGAGATCATAAATCAAGTGTATAGAATAAATGGACGCAGTGTAGTGTCATGCGTCATTCTGGAATGCAAGAGGTGTGGACTAGTACTGATAACAGTTAGTGTGTTGACAATGTTACAATCCGACGGTAAAGAAGCAAGTTTACGATGTGCTGAGTGTTATTTAGCTTCTAATGTATATAGGTGTAAAATAAAGTAGTTTATAGCCTAAAGTGGCTGTGATTGATCTATTCCTGCCTTGCTGTGCTGCCGATGCCACTGAGAGAGACACGATGAAGGCCATGGATAAATATGTGAGGGGAGGAGGGAGCAAGTTTGTTTTATGCTTCTCTGGAGACTAGGACATGGAATAATGGCTTCAAACTACAGGAAAGAAGATTCCACCTGAACATGAGGAAGAACTTCCTGACTACGAGAACTGTTTAGTAGTGAAACTCTCTGCCTCAGAGTGTGGTGGCGGCTCCTTCTATGGAGGCTTTTAAGCAGAGGCTGGATGGCTATCTGCTGGGGGTGCTTTGAATTCGCTTTTCCTTCTTCTTGGCAGAATGGGGTTGGATTGGATGGCCCATGAGGTCTCTTCCAATTCAATTAGTCTACTCTCCTGGCTTAGGCATCCTTAGGGTGCATCTACACTGTAGAATAAATGCAGTTTGATGCCACTTTATCATGGCTCAGTTCTATGGATCCCTGGGAGTTATAGTTTTTCAAAGTCTAATATTTTCTGCCCAAGATAGCTGGTGCTTCACCAAACTACAACTCCCAGGATTCCATTGCCTTTAGTCAAGTTAAAGTGGTGTGAAACTGCATTGATTCTATGCAATCTACCTCATTAATAACAATTGCCATCTTGACCACACAAAGATGATGCTTGGCCACACACCTCCTAGTTTTCATCTCTGAACTATTGATGGGCACGGATCTATGGCAAGGCCTTGTGTAATTGCACTCCATATTAAAAGTTGCGAGGCTTTTGGATTCAGCCCGAATGGCTCCTTTTCGGTGGATTGTATTTAAATTAGAAGGTTGAAACCAAACTGATTTCCCTTTCAACACTCACCCCACCTCCTTTTGAACTGGGTTGAATGAACATATTATTTTGACCGTTCCCTCTTTCCCCTTTTTAATTTACCAAGGCAATGCACTGCCTTGATATTATAGCATGCCCCCAAATCAATGAAATATTCTGAATTTCCTATTCATTAAGCCCCTAAAGCAGTATGTGTAAATTCTTCTGCTTTAATTACACACCTCAGGGATGTACAAGCCAAAAAAAGGCAAGTCAGTCAGACAAAAAGCCAGATCTCTGCCAAAAGAAAGAGGGAAGAAACCCATTGAACTGGTAAACATTTATTTTCAGATGGGAAGTCTGCTATTAATTCATATAGTGACTTCCCCAGCCAGAATAATGAGCCACGCTGAGCAAACCAAACATTAACAGTCGCAAAGATGTGCTCTTGGAAACGGGCCATGGTTTTTAGGGTATGTCCAGACCAGCGTTGGAATTATTATTATATTCTTTTCCTCCAGAGATTTGGAGGTCAAAGATGCTCAAGTTATTCTCTGAAATTGCCAAATGCTTGATGCATGTTCACTAAAGCACACTCAGCACTTCACATGCACTGGGTTTTGGGGCAAGGGACCACCGTAGACATGGAAAAAATACAAATAATAAAAATGCTTTTAAAAAACCCATCATAAACTCACATACTGCAGTTCAGTGCAGTTAAACTGGATTATATGAGGCTATTCTGACCCCATAATGCAGTTCAAACTGCATCAAATGGCAGTATAAATGGGCCCCAGGAATCTTTCGGTCAGTGTTTCTCAACCTTCCTAATGCTGCGATCCCTTAAAACAGTTCCTCATGTGTTGAACTCCTACCATATAATAATAATAATAATAATAATAATAATAATAATAATAATAATAATAATCCTTTATTTGTACCCCGCTACCATCTCCCGAAGGACTCGGTGCAGCTTACAAGAGGCCGAGCCCAAATACAACAATAAAAACAGCAACAACAACAACAAAATAACTCAAAAAACAAAAACAAAAAAACAAAGCAATAACATTAACAACATCTAGTGACACAATTAAAAACAATTAAATATAATAATTAAAATTAAAAGTGCTGGACATGACAAGGTGGGATGTTTGGAGGGGGATGGGCATGCAGATATCCTGGGTCTCTGATAAAGTGCGTTGGGACATAATGCTAGGAGTTTCCTTATTCTGGAAAGGCACACTGGAACAACCACGTTTTCAAGCTCCTCCTAAAGATAGCTAGCGACGGGGCCTGCCTGATGTCCTTAGGGAGAGAGTTCCAGAGTCGAGGGGCCACCACCGAGAAAGCCCTATCCATCGTCCCCACCAATCGCGCTTGCGATGCAGGTGGGATCATGAGCAGGACCTCTCCAGATGAACAAAGAGATCATGTGGGTTCATACACAGAGATGCGGTCATGCAGGTAGGTGGGTCCCAAACCATTTAGGGCTTTGTAGGTAAGCACCTGCACCTTGAATTGGGACCAGAAAATGAATGGAAGCCAGTGGAGCTCCTTAAACAAGAGGGTTGACCTCTCCCTGTAAGGAGCACCAGTTAACAATTTGGCCGCCGCCCGTTGGACCAATTGAAATTTCCGGGCCATTTTCAAGGGCAGTCCCACATAGAGTGCATTACAGTAGTCCAATCTGGAAGTGACTAAGGCGTGGACCACCCTGGCCAGATCCACCTTCACAAGGTACAGTCGCAGTTGGCGCACGAGTCTTAGTTATTTTTATTGTTATTTATAACTGTAATTTTGCTACTGTTATGAATCGTATTGTAAATATCTGATATGCAGGATGTATTTTCATTCGCTGGACCAAATTTGGGCACAAATACCTGATATGCCTAACTTTGAATACTGGTGGGGTTGGGGAGGGGGATTGATTTTGTCATTTGGGAGTTGTAGCTGTTGGAATTTGTAGTTAACCTACAATCAAAGAGCATTCTGAACTCCACCAACAATGGAATTGGACCAAACTTGGCACACAGAACTCCCATGACCAACAGAAAATACTGGAAAGGTTTGGTGGGCATTGACCTTGAGTTTTGTAGTTGTAGTTCACCTGCATCCAGAGAGCACTATGGACTCAAACAATGATGGATCTGAACAAAACATGAGACAAATACTCAATATGTCCAAATATGAACACTTAAAATAGACATTGAAATTTGGGAGTTGTAGTTGCTTGGATTTACAGTTCACCTACAATCAAAGAGTATTCTGAACTCTACCAATAATAGAATTAAACCAATCTTAGCACACAGAACTCACATAACCAACAGAAAATACTGGAAGGGTTTGGGGTCATTGACCTTGAGTTTTGGAGTTTTAGTTCACCTACATCCAGAGAGCAGGAGGAGGGCTTTTGGTGGGAGGATTCAATGTCTGTTTCCAAAAAGGAAGAGAAGGACAGGCAGAGGGATCTTCAGTCTTCTCTGCTAAAGGGGTTCCTAAGACCATCAGAAATATGTGTTTCCCGATGGTCTTTGGTGATCCCTCTGAACCCCCCCCCCATGACCCCCCAGGGGTCCCAACCCCCAGGATGAGAAAAACTGTCTTAGAGTCTCAACCAACTCTCTATAGTTTGTTGGAGCCACAAAACAAATTTTCTGGGGGATAACAACTACGTTCAAAGCAAGTACTACACAAACAGGAAATAACACTTTCAAACCAAGAAGAGAATGTGTTTGTCAAATTTTGCTACATAGTGTAATCAAACCAACAAATGGGGAGGCACAACTGCATTTCATCTCTCCCATGGGATCAGTGGTATTCCATTAGATTTCCAATTTCAAATCTGTCTGATCAAGATCCTGGGCAGTCATCATAGGCAATCCCTTGTGGCCGAGAATGATTGCCTTCAGAGGTAGACTCTTGATGATGGATCCATAAATGACTGTGAAGATCTATTCTGGATGATAGGGTCTTTTGCAGTAAGCACTACCACAACCTCCTGAATCACAGCTCCAATGTGGCTGAAGAGGTTCTCTCACAAATCCCGCAACAACAAACCAGGGATGAGCTTGCAGCACTGCCTAGTTTGGAGGAAGTCAGCAATGCTCTCAGCCAACAAAAAAATTACAAAGCCAGGGGACCTGATGGGATCCCTGTTGAAATCTTTAAAGAATGTGGACCTCAGCTGACACGACAACTGTACCAAAAAAAAGTGTGGGTGACTGAGAAAATCTCAGCAGACTTCAAGGATGCTACCATCATCACCCTTTTCAAAACAGGAGAAAGAACAGACTGCAGAAACTATCGTGGTATGCACCTTTTCTTTACACATTTCTTCCTTTTGCCCTCTATTTGTGCCTCGTCAAAATCCACAGCACTGTTGGTCACAACTAACCTCCAATTCCAACACGCAAGGGCTTCGGATTCCCAGTTCTATGTTTATTCCACATTTTTAAAGGTTAGCTTTAACCCCATCTTTAAATCTTTTCTATTGCGCAATGATCTCTTTTCCTTTCTTGGGTAGAGAATAAAGTAACTGCTTTGGTAGATGCTGATTGGACATTCAATCCCTGATCTCCAGAGCCACTGTCCAATACTCAAATGACTGCACCATGCTGGCTCTTCACTAAGAGAGTAGTTTTTGAGCTGAGTCAAAACTAGCAATAGGCATTTCAATCAAAATAAAATATTCATAACCGGCATGGTATAGTGATTTGAATGTTGGGCAATGACTCTGGAGACCAGCCATGAAACTATTTGATGATCTTGCACAAGTTACACTCTCTCAGACTCAGAGGAAGGCAATGGCAAACCTCTTTTGAATTAAGCTTGCCAAGAAAACCCCATGATAGGCTGACCGTACCTTGTTTACCTGAGTCAACATACCTTGGCAACAGTGTGAAGGCACACAGCAACAACTGCAACTGCAACTAGTAGGAAACACGAAAACACAAATATATCATGAATGATACCTGGTATATGTGAAAAAGATCTAGGTGTCTTAGTAGACTCAAAAATACACATGAGTTGAAAGACTGATGCAGCAGCCAAAGAAGACAATGCCATTCTAGATGGCCTCAACAAGAATGCAGTGTCCAGATTGAGTGAACTAGTAATGCCAATCTAGTCTGCTTTGGTCATCTGTGTCCAGTTCTGGGCATCACACAATGCTCTGGCCAGATCTG